CATTACAATGGATTTGAATTTTAGAACGATTTTTTTGCGACACATGGTCTCGGGCCTGGAAAACCCGGTCCGAGAGCCGCGAAACCAATAACCCCCCCGTACATGGAAAATAATTATCGGATCGAAGTAAAAATTACATTTATGTTAATAGCTTAGCTAGTGCTACTTTGTGAACTTTTTTGAGAATTTTCGATTTTTCACTTTTGTAGACCTCTGGTCCATATTTACTGACATCCGCTCTTAAGAGGTTGTAGACTACGAGCAGCCTCTCTTTTTTCTGTAGTCCGTCGAGCAAAACGCGAGATACGCAAATGGCCACACGCGTGACTGATGGCGCGAGACGGGAGAGGCACGAAAAAAGAGAGACTACCTGCAAAGCCAGAGAGAATGGTCCTTCACGGTCTAGTGATTTTTTGGCGTCAAAACTGAAGTGTTGACAGGCCAGGCACGTGAAACGTGACCTTAGAGTTTGCTTGAACAATAGATGTTTTTCTACTTTTCTTTTTTAAGTGCAGCTTATGCAGTGCATAGAGTTACAGTCGATTCTAAGCTAATTGACTGAGCAAATCTTAATTTTGGCCGCTGGTCTCACATTTAGAGGTCATGAAGCTGGTCTATTTCTCTTATATTAATAATTCATTTCCTGTGCTTTATGTTTTGAATGAGATCACCCGTGGCCTAGTTCTTGTTTGCAGGATGTTGAATTTTCACGGGACAGTGTTCTACATATCCTAATTCTAGCTTAACTAAAGCTAAGCCAACGCTACAAGTCACTCAAGATCATTCTTTGGGCGCCGATTTGTTTTTTTGTTTTTTCTTTCTTTCTTGAGAATCTTTGTTCTATAGCGGGATGTCCTGTGGTGCATCCGTTGGTAATTACTACTGTTTTAGCTTTATAAAACAAACAGTCTAAGAGTCTTCCAGTCTATGCTACTTTCTGTTTTAAGTTCTAAAGTAAGACTACCGTTTTGGAACTAAAGCGTTCCTTGACAGTGAAGAGAGGCTTTGAGCACTTAATTGCGAGATCACGTCACGTACCCGGAGAGATGAGACCTTCTTATGCTTCTCTTTGCTCCGTATCTAATGTTTTTTTTTTTCCGGGAAACGTGACAAACTTTCCTGCAGTGCTTCAGACATCATCAACTTATCAATGGTTTCGATTGTTAGCTCTGGCTAAGCGGGCAGTCTCTCTTTTTTCTTCTCGGGCTGCCGCCCTCGTTTCGCGCGTCTCGCGGCTTCGCCGCTCCCGCGCGCGTGCATTGCTCTCACTAAATCTGAAGAAAAAGAGAGACTGCTCACAGTCTAAAGAGGTTGGCACTTAAACGTTAAACCAAAATCTGCGTCAGAAAGCCTAGCGTGAGTTCCGAACAACATAGCTTCAGTCTTAACCGCGTTTAAGAAAAGGCTGTTATTATAGAGTCACGATCCAATTAGATCAAGATCTTCATTGAGACTTTTCTCGATTGTAGCAGCAACCTTTCCAAAATAGAATAAGACAGTGTCATCAGCATACATTAGCATACTACACTTGCGGGCAACGGTGGGTAAATCGTTCCCATGGAGCAGAAATAACAGAGGTCCGAGGATCGATCCTTGGGGCACACCGACACAAATAGATTCAGCGTCTGAGAAAGCTCCCTGGAACCCGACAACTTGAGGTCTACCTTTCAGATAGTCAGTTAACCACTCGTATTCTTGATCTACGATAGCCAGGGCATAAAGCGTCTTTAGTAGCAGGGAATGGTTCACACTGTTAAAGGCCTTGCAGAAGTCTATAAAAACAGCTCCAGTCATTTGACCTTGATCAACGTTACGTCTTCTTGTATAAGCTAAAGGTAATGCCGCAAATTCCGTAGAATGCTGTTTCCTGAAAGCACACTGGTATGGGCTCAAAATGTTATGCTCTCATAAATAATCACATAGTTGCACAAGAACAACCCTCTCCAGAAGTTTGGAGACTGTCGGTAAAATTGAAATGGGCCTGTAATTATCCATATCCTCACTCTTTCCCTTTTTGAGCTATTGACTTATTTTTGAGCTGAAAAAATAGCTCATATGTCAGTGGTGTGAGCGTATTTATCTTTGTGGCTTTGTATCTTTGTATCTTTGTATGTTCGGATGTTTTTTGCAAGAGCCAATAAGGATGAAGGTACTATGAGTTGATGCTTAGGAACCAATGAGATCTTGGCATCTACTTAAACATGACATTGCTAAAGGTCGAACAAGGGCACTTTTGAGACCGCCATCTTGATTCTTCACAATTTTTTCGTCTTTTTATTACGGCTACATGTGTTTGGAAACATTGTATTAAATATCTTCATGATTCAACCGCTGTGTACAGTGATGCAGCTGTTTAAGGGTTCATATTTTAGTTTGGATGCTACTTCAAGACATTTCTGACCGAATTCGGCTATCGCTAACAGTACTGACGCACGTATTTATGAGTTGTGTTTCACCTGCTTCAAGGTAGAGTATAAAAGATCGTATATTTTCAAAGCTCTTCAAGTGAAGCAATTATAATTGATATTTAGTTGTGGACTTTAATTCGAAAGTACGCGGCCTATAAAATGTGGTTTTACAAGTTTGAAAGGCAGCTTATTTTTTTTGAAAGCTGTAACGAGTATTGTTAATCCTGTAAACAGGCTTTTAAAATATTATTCTCTCGCTTACAAAGTTCAACAGACCTTTTTTGTTCCTGCAAAACAAAAAATAAAGAATAAGTGAACAACATGATACATCCTTCCTGCATACTAAGCATTATAGTTATTGGAATGTATTTTATATAGTAAAGATGCGTAACGTAAGTAGAAACAGTAGCGTTAGGGAATAGAATTGGAAGAAGCTAGTTGACACAATAATTAGATACTGTTTTACTGAGTGGAGTAACATGATATGAGCAGACATATATTTCGGCAGTTTGATAATTTTCTTGGAAGTTCATAAATGTTAGGCAATCAACCTTGACGTTGGATGAAACATAATTTAATTGCAGATGTTGAAATGAAGCCGAGGTGATTTCTTAAAATCGGTTGAGAAAATTTTGTAGCAAACAATTTGGCTTTGTTTTACGTACGAATTGTAAAAGGGCCAAAGACGAACATCTTCACGTGCAAATCGTGTGCATGAGTTATTTTTATAAGTCTGTTTACTAGATTACTGTGTGATAACTCGAATTCCTTTACGTACGAACAACGAAAGGGGGCAAAGTCCAACACTTTCACGTGCCAGTTGTGTGACTGTACATCTCATGCAGATTGGCTTTTCACAATAATAATAGTAACTTGAACGTATGAAGACCTATTTCGTTTTGTAACCAATGCCTTAAAAAAGGCTCTTGTCTTTTAAGAAGCAATAGCTTTTAAAACATGAAGAAATAAGTTGTCGGAGTTAAAGACTGTTTCACTGAGTAGAATCGCACGTGAAAACCTCGTGAATT